CCCGCCGCGTCCCGACCGACCGGGCTCCTAGCCCAAGGGCGAGCGAACCCAGAAGGGGCACCCCCGCCACCCCCTACCCAGCCTGTTCAGGCAAGGGCCACTCGGGGCCCCATCTGCCCGCAGGGTAGCGATGCCGCTTGTATCGCTTCCGGCTCCAGCTCTGCTGCCAAAGGGGTGTCCCTAGTTCCTCCAATGTCACCTTTAGCGCCCCCCTGCCGGGCCCAAGAACACTCCAGCCTTAAACCCGGCACTTGAATTCCTACCAAGTTATTGGATACACTCCAGGCACCTTCTCTTTCCCGCTTCTGACGTACATCAGGTCTTGGTCCATCCCCCCACCAGGATTTCTTTGCCCACAGACCCAAATGGTGTTGATGGCTGAAGAATAGAAAATTGTGGCGGGGGGGAGGGGTCGGGGGTAGCGGCAGCGGAGATAGAGGCAGCACTGCCCTACGCCCAAACACCTGGGCTCCTTTATTGCTGGGCACACCCAAAGAAACCTGAGCTCCTTGGGGCCAGCTGAAAAGCATGGGTCTGTATTTCAAGCCTCAAGATGGAAAATGTTAGAGAAAAGTGGCCCACAGTCCCGTCCACAGCTTTTTGGCTTTCAGAAAAGCCATCTAGTCACCTGGTGACCATTAAACAAAGAAAGTACAAAGGGCAACCCAGGAAACTGTCCACCAGAGGAAGCTGCATTTATGAAGGGGTGCAATACTCTGCTCCCTTTGTGATGGTCATTTTCTGGTTTTTATGAAGGAACAAAAGAAAGTCTATTAAAATTTCAGAATCTGTTGAACCATGTGGTCAATATAGATGGTAAAACTTACGGAAAAGTTATTTCCATCCTTTACACAAACAGTAAGTGAAGCCAATCATTGGTGTATGGAGATCTGGCAGTGAAACCCTGAGCTGAGCTTAGGCTCACTTAGGGAGCCAGAGAGGTCCTTGGCAAAAATGAGGTGTCAGCTGAAGCCTGTGATCAGAATTAAGCAACTAAAAGACCTTTCACTAGCAAAATGTTTTACACTTCATTTCTCACTTCCAAAGAGGCTGCTGATCAATTTCTGCCCACTCAAATCCAAAAGATTCTCTATTCATCTGTAAACTAAACGGGGGGTGGGGGTGCAGACTAGATCGTCTTGACAGCCTCTCTTACTTTACTATCTTTTAGTTCTAAAACTTTTAAAAGAGCTGCCCTAGAATCCTGAGTCCTCCTGGTCCTACACTGCAAGACACTAGAAACCCTGTTCTCTGAGGAACAAATAGCAGAAAGAACCAAGGATGATTGACCTAGAGAAAGTTCTAGGCAAATATGAACATGAAGTATCTAAAGCACTGGGATGTGGGAGGATGGAAGCTTGTTCTGGATGTCTCTTTAAGCTGGCACACTGAGATCCAAGGGCAGATTTCAAAGCAACAAAGAGCTTTCTCACAGCTATTCAAAGAATAGGGTGTCCCTTAAAAGGATGACTTTCCTGACCCTGGAGGTGTCTGAGCAGAAATTCAAGCAATCACTTGGCAGAGATTTGACGAGAGGTTTACAAGTCCTCTATCAGTGTGTTCAAGATGAATTTTAAGGTCTCTTTCAACTCTAATGCACTGTGATCGGAAGGCTTGATTAACTCTACAGATCTGATACTTAACTTAATTTCAGAGAATCTGAGTTTTAATTTTCATTTAATTATTAACTACAACTGGAAAAACCCAAGATCAATTTCATTAGCAAATCTCCCCTGGCCAAATACACTCACTTATGTGTTCAGATATCATAAGAGACTGTTTAGTGTGCCAGGGGCCCTCTGGTTGGAAGAATCTGAGGAATTCTGGCTCTGGACTAAGGGTGGGTGGTTATTCTATTATAAAGAATGATCTTGATGTGGAATCACAGACCTCATGGCCAGAAATTCCTTTCCTGTTTCCTCATCAAGTCAGCTGCCAATCAATTCAATCTGTTTTTAATCCCTCCCACACCTATCTACCTTATTCTCACCACTCTCACCAGTGCTCCATTATTATAATACAAATAAATAAGTGGAACATTTTAGCAACTATGAAATTCAGATTCAAATTACTTAGCAGCTTAAGTCACACCCTCTCTGACTAGCGTGTTAGGAGACTATTACAGATAAATCTCCCTACAGTTCAAAGATAGCCTTATAGAAAGGATTACATAAAGTCAACCAATTCCTCCTGCACACCATCGCCACCCCGCCAGAAACATTGCTTTGCTTTTTTAAAAATCAGTTTGTGTTTAGAAAGAAAGGCAGCAAAAGGTTTCTTTCCTCCGTGTCTTATTTTCTATCTGTTCATGAGTTTCTCCTTAGTTTTGGTATGTGGAACTCTGCCAATAGCCATCTCAGTGACTGAAATAAATACCTGATACAGCCTTCAACTTCTCATTACCCTGATAGCTCCAACAACCAAAAAAAAAAAAAAAAAAAAAAAGCATCTGTTCATTTCACATGCTGTGTGTAAAGTTTTAAAAAAGAAGTACAAAAAATAAAAGAGAAGGACAGGGAGCTCCAGGGAACCTCTTTGGATGCTTCCCCTACTCCCTTAACACCAATATATGTGCTGAAGCCAAATTTCAAATTAGTTTCCAGTTGGTTGATTACAGAGTTCAAAGAAATCTCTACTCATTTTGAAATTGCTAAGAACAAAATTTGGTGTCAGATTTTCCTTTGGTGAACTTAAAAGAAAGAAAAGTCTGGCCCTTCCTGCTGTCTCCTAATTAAAACATCAAGGTGGGGTCTCCTAACACCCCAGCACAGCTCCCTTTCGAAATTTTGGGCCTGGCCCTCTGCCTTTGTCTGCTTCAGACTTAAACCACCAGCCTCCTAGGAAAATCTGGAGACCCCAGATCCACACTTCCTCAGATTCTATAATGCCTTTTCATCCACTTCTCTCTCTCTCGAAAGATTAGGGCTGACTGGAGGAGGATACAGAAGACTGGTTGGATCTTGCACATTTTAAATCTACAAACTGCCTTTCATCTTAGGCTCTCTAGACTTTACAAGCGTTTATTTAGTGGCAAGTGGAAACTCCACAGTATTAGTTTGTATTAGTTTGTACCTGCTGGGCGTCAGTCACTACCACCCTTTTATTACATAAAGATGGCTACAAAATGGCTCATTAAGCAATGCCGCATGATAGGAAACTTGTTTTAAATGGGATACTAAGGGTTTTGATGCTATTTGAGCTCTTGTGTTTCCCTGAACCCATGAGAAAACTTTCCACACACTCTGCAGGAACTCTCATGACCCCTGTAAGCCCTTTCCTGCCTGCAGACTTTCCAAAAGACAATGTATTAATCCCTTTTTAGCCACTCCCCAAGACGGTGGTGATGACGAAAACATAGGGCTTTGCAAGTGAGAAAAGACCTGACAGAAGAGTGGGAGGTAGGGGGTTTGGGGAAGGCTTTATGTAGGGAATCACATTTACTCATTAGGATTTGGATATA